AGTTAACTATCGTAGCCTTTCTTTTACGACTACCATGTTCATTTAATGACTGCCACAATTTTTTAAAAAATAATTCTGCGACGGTTACAACTTACCATTGTAACGGGCAAGCTAAGCTTCGTTATAGTCGTAACTCAAGGAATACCTGAGTTAGGAAAGTCTATAAAGCAGTATTTCTCAACCTTGGCTACTTGAAGATGTCTGGACTTCGAATGCTGGCTGGGGAATTCTGGGAGTTGAAGTCCAGACATCTTCAAGTAGCCAAGGTTGAGAAACACTGCTATAAAGTCAAGAGAAGATGAAAGATGTTTTGTAGATTCAGATTCAGATTCAGATTTAATTTATTTGTATGCCGCCCTTCTCCGGGAGGGACTCAGGGCGGCGAACAACTCAAAAGGGGAAAGGGGATACAAACACAATACATATAATTAAAATACACAAGAGTCATACAGCCATACAAGTCGAGAGGGGAGGGGAACTCATCAACCCCAGGCCTGCCGGCACAGCCAGGTTTTGATGGCTTTCCGGAAGGCCTGGAGAGGGGTGAGGGTCCGGATCTCCGCGAGGAGTTCATTCCAGAGGGCCGGAGCTGCCACAGAGAAGGCCCTCCCCCGGGTAGTAGCCAGATGGCATTGGCTGGTAGACAGAACTCGGAGGAGGCCGACCCTGTGCGATCTAACGGGTCTGTGGGAGGTAATTGGCAGAAGGCGGTCTCTCAAGTACCCAGGTCCAATACCATGAAGGGCTTTATAAGTTACGACTAGCACCTTGAAGCGTATCCGGAGACCGATCGGTAACCAGTTCAGCTCGCGGAGGATAGGTGTAACGTGGGTGTACCGAGGTGCACCCACAATCGCTCGCGCGGCTGCATTCTGGACGAGTTGTAGTTCTGAATACTCTTCAAAGGCTGCCCCATGTAGAGCGCATTGCAGTAGTCCAGTCTTGAGGTCACGAGGGCATACTTGTATAAGTAAGGAAGAAAGGAGCATGTTTTGGAATTAAGTGGCTTAGAAATATAATTGACAGGTAAGGTAATCCCTCTGTTTTGAGAATCGTTTAAAAAAAACATTCAAGACTGTGTCACAACAAATATTTTATTCTCAATATCTTTGTTATAATTACACTTGCTTTTTTTTTTCTTAATAACATAGATCCTCAAAACTCCAAAAGATAGTTCACAGTGAAGAAAAGAAGAAAGGACAGAGCACGGTTTCAACACAAAAGTGATATTTACATCAGCTTCAGAAGCAAATCTTGGCCATTAGGTCTACCGCGTGGCAAATGAAAAGAAAGAGAGGTGCTCAATTCATTCATACATTCATTTTGTTGGACAATCAAGAGAAAACAAACGTAACAAAACGTTGTGTTTTTTTGTGCAGAAGAGCAACTGGGAACTTTTCCCACAACCACAAAATGTTGTAAAACTGGGGTTTCAAAAATATCAGTCTGTAGGATCTTAAGTCAGTTACTCCAAAGTAAATCCACTCCCCCACCCCCACCCCCCCACCCCCGTGGGCTTACTCTAAAGCAATTTGGCACGAGTTTATTAATTACAGGTAGTGCTCGACCTGCAAACAGTTGGTTTAGTAACCGAAATTACAACAGCACTGAAAAAAGTGAGTTATGACCATTTTTTCCACACTTGCGACCATTGCAACACTGCCATGGACACTTACGTGATCAAAATTTGGATGCTTGACAACTGACTCGTACGTATGACGGTTGCAGAGTCCCTGGGAGGTCACGTGATCCCCTTACGCAACCTTCTGACAAGCAAAGTCAGTGGGGAAGCCTGATTCACTTAACAACTGTGTCACTAACTTAACAACTGAGATGACTCACTTAACAACTGTGGCAAGGAAGCTCATAAAATGGGGTAAGAGTCACTTAACAAATGTGTTGGTTAACTGAGTCCATAAAATTGTGTAAAATTACAAACTTGGATGAGCTTTGCTAGCCCCATTGAGTATTTGAATGGCAGAATATCAGAGTTGGAAGGGGCCTTGGTGGTTTCCTAATCCAATCAATCCCCTGCTCATAAATTTTGGGCTCAATGGTAGTCGTAAAACGAGGAGTATCTATATGTAATCCTGTGACAATTGCCTACTAGCAAGACCTTCAAAAACTAATGGAATTTTCTTGTGAGTCCATATAATTTACTCTCAAGCAAGAGATGTAGATTTAAATTTGCTCCAATTTAAGATTTCTCTTTTAAGAGATCTTAAGAAGAGAGATTGAACTTTTAGGAAAAAGATGTGCAGTATGTAAATTCTTCCACCCATTCACTTTTAATTTCCCAACACAGGTAGTTCTTAGACTTATGATCACAACCGAGCCCAAAATTTCCATTGGTAAGCAAGACAGCTGATGGGTGAATTTTGCCCCATTTTACAACCTTTCTTTGCCACGGTTGTTGAGTGAAACACCGCAGTTGTTAAGTGAGCCCTACAGTAGTTAACTAAATCTAACTATACCATTGACTTGGCTTGTTAGAAGGTCACAAAAGGGGATCACATAACCTCAGGCAACCGTCATAAATATGAGTCAGTTGCCAAGCGAATTTTGATCACATGACCAGGGGAGGGAACAGCAATGGTCATAAGTGTGAAAAATGGTCATATGTCCCTTTTTTCAGTGCTGCTAAAACTTTGACCAGTCACTAAATGAGTGGTTGTAAGTTGAGGACTGCCTGTATTCATCTGTTTTATACATTTTCCCTTAATTTGTAACAAGTATTTTAAAAATATGATTCTGTATTTCTTACTACAATTTTCGGTATTTTAGCTGAGGATTGTACCACGAAATTGGAAAGGACTTGGTTTAAATCTTTCCTGGACATGGTCCTTGGTTTCTTGCTTTCCCACCACAGAAATTAAAATTAACTATTTTAATTTCAGGATTGTGGGGCCCTTGATGATCTCTGAGTTTGATGGTTTTCTTTCAGACATTTCATTACCCAACTAGGTAACATCATCAGGAGTAGAAGGGGGTTTGCTCTTTATTTATTTACAGATGTTGCTTGCCCTCTCAATATTAATGGATATGTTATTTTTCTTCTTAATAATTCCCTTGATTAAGGTATTATTTTCTGCTTGATCGTTTGTCTGGTGTTAATCCCAGCTTATCTGGCTTTCTGGAGGGGTTCTCGGGAGAAGGGAGAGAGGAAGGGAGGAAGGAGGGGAAGGAAGGCAGCAAGGGGAGAAGAGAGGAAGGGAGGGAAGAGGAGAGGAGAGGAAGGAAGGGTAGAAAGAAAGACAAAGGAAAAGGAAAGAAAGGAGAGGAGAAGGAAGGAATAAATAAGAGGAGAGGGAGAAATATAGGAAGGAATGAAGGGGGAGGAATGAAAGAGGGGGAAAGAAGGAAAGAAAGAGAGAGGGAGGGAGGAAAAAGGAAAGAGAAAAGGGAAGAGATGGGAGGGGAAGGAATGGAAGGAAGGAAGGAAGGAAGGAAGGAAGGAAGGAAGGAAGGAAGGAAGGAAGGAAGGAAGGAAGGAAGGAGTTGCACAACGGAGGAAGGAATGCAGACTATCACTCAGGGCAATTAGGACTCAGCCTGTCCAGCATTCAAATCCCCTTTGACTGCAGATTTTACACCAAATATACAAGTGAGTTTGAGAGCCAAAAGCCAAAATGAAAACCTCGGTTGTGACTCGTATAAGGAGAGATAAGTTGCTTCCAAGAGAAACCTTGATGTTTACCCTGGAGAACCAAAGAATGATGTGACAATGGCTTTACGGCATTTTATCCCGTCCTTCTTTACACAGGCAGTCCTTGACTTACAACAGTTCATTTAGTGACCGTTCAAAGTTAAAATGGCACTGCAAACAAAATGACTTCTGGCCATTTTTCAAAGTTACGACCATTGCAGCACCCCCAGGGTCCCATGACCAAAATTCAGACGCTTGGCAACTGTCTCATATTTACGACGGCTGCAGCATCTCGAGGCCACGTGACCCCCTTTTGCGACCTTCTGACAAGCGAAGTCAAAAGGGGGAGCCAGGTTCACTTAACAACCTGATTACTAACTTATCAGCTGCAGTGGCTCACTTAATAACTGTGGCCAGGAAGGTCGTAAAATGGGGCAAAACGCACTCAACAAAATTTTCACTTAGCTCAATTGTGGTCATAAGTTGAAGACTGCCTGTAGTAAAAAGCACCCCAAAACTGCAAGGTGGAAGGAACAGGGGGCAAAGAATCTCATACCATTCAATGTGTAGGAAGCAACTGAAGAATTTTCCCCTTTCCCAGACCTTTCATTAAACAGAATTTCTTCCATTTCTTAGCTGCGGTGAGCATTTTATTCCTTACCATTTTAATAAAATAGGATATGTGCCCGCTTTAAGGTATGCACACACACGCAAACACACACATATGGAGTCACACCGATTAGAGAGGATCATGAAACATGGAGGAGAGACTCACACAGCCCACGAGACACCACAAAAAAAGTCCTCTGCGGACGTCGCGCATCACGCAGAGTCTCAACCCGGAGATCGTTGGTTGAGTTCGGATGAAAGCAGCTACGCCAAAGAAGGGGCTCTGAATGGAAGGTGGGGGGTTAGAAGGACTCCCTTCTTCCTCCCAAGCCTCTTTTTTTATTTTTTACTAGTAATAATGGCTAATAATAGAAAATACCCAGCTGTGCAAAATAGGGGGAAGGGAGGGAGGGAGGGAAGAATTAAGGGAGGGAGGAAGAGGGAGGGAGAGAAGGAATGGAGAGAGAGAGAGAGGAGAAAGGAAAGGAAAAATGAAAAAAGGGAGGAAGGAGAGAAAGGAAGAGAGAGGGAAGGAAGGAAGAGAAATAAAAATGAAAGGGAAAGAACAAAGAAAGAGAGAGGAAGGAAGGAAGAAAGAGGGAGGGAGAGATGAAGGGAGAGGAGAAAGAAAAGATGAAAAAAGGGCGGGAGGAAGGAGAGAAAGGGAGAGAGAAAGGGAGAGAGAAAGGGAGAGATGGGGGGAAGGAAGAGAGATAAAAATGAAAGGGAAAGAGAAAGGAAGAGAAAGAAAGAGGGAGGGAGGAAGGAAGAGAGGACGGAAAGAAGGAAGGAAACAAAAAAGGAAGGAGGAAGAAAGGGCAAGTGGCTCTCCCCAAAATGAATCTCCTCCCCCAACTACATAACCCATCTGCCCTTTGATAACACACCGCAACCCCCCCCCACCTTTTGACAGTCAACCCAAATCCTCCCTTCAAAGTCCCTCCCCTCACCCTATTTTCTGTGACTCGTTAGCCGTGAACGGGGTTGATGCTGGAAGTTTGGAAGAAAAGGTATCTGGAATTAATCGGCACTTAATGTTGGGAAATATTTATTTCTATCTCCATATTAGTTCTATTAAAAAAAAAAAAACAAGAAAGAAAAAAAATTGCCTGTCTCAAAAAATATAACTCTATGGAACTGAGATGGCCATTTTAGAAGATTCACAGCTTAACAAAAGAAACAAAAGGAAAAAAAACCCCCAAAATATTCAGATAGTTTCCCAAAAGAGGGAAAATCTGATCCCCCCACAGTGTAGGGCTGGGGTTTTTCCATCAACCAATCCTGGTAGGATCCGTCTCTGCGACCACAATGCCCACCAGCATTGGGAGGTGAGGGGGGGGGGGTCACCCCTGGCTCAGTGTTTGCACAACGTTGTTCTCGGTCCCAAGAGGACCCCAATGGTCCAAGATGTTGGGATCAGAAGCATTTGGACATGAGGCCCCCAACTTCATGAGATGTTAACTCATGAAACCAAAAAATTCACCAATGGTACCAGGGAAATGAGGGACGGGAGTGATGGAGGGGGGGGGGGTTCGGCTCTTGGGACAAGGGGGCGCATCAAGGTGATTTTGGTCGGGAGGACCTCGTTCCCTTAGATGGAACGTCTTTGTGAAGCTTCTCTTCCACCCATAAGAGATGACAAGCTTCAGAACCCCAGAAACTTTCCATCAAAGGGAGGTGGATTTGTTGTTGTTTTTTTTATTATTATTATTATTATTATTATTATTATTATTATTATTATTATTATTATTATTATTATTAAAAAAGAGGCAGACGGAAGTAACACCCCGAAAGCCATCATATTTAGGGGTAAATATGGTCCTTTCGTGGTGTCCAAAGTACGGTTCATCGTTCTCTTTCTCTTTGGGAGGGTGCCTGGCGGGAGAAGAGGCGGGAGGGGGTGTCTTACGGGCTCATGTGGCCAAGTTCTCGGCATTGACGCTGGACATCCGGATCTGTGAGCTGCTCTTGCTCAAGATGGACAGTTGAGTCCCCCCGTTGACTCCGCTGCTTGCCAGGGAGGGATGGCGGTGTTTGAAATCCACAGCAAAATAACGGTTGACTTTCCAGCTCCGCCATTTTCTCTTGATTTCGGATTGCACCTTGAGGGAGAAACTTTAAGAGGTCATTTTTTTCAATGTACTCGGACGTCAGGATGGGGGGCATGATGCTCACACATACACTTTCAAAATGCAAGGAGAAAAAGATGAGGGTTTGCAGAAGGATTTAAGGCTCGAGGGAGCTCCTCCGGCTGGCTGAATCCCCACTCTCAAACTGGAGTGAACTGGGGGAAACAAGGGTTAACCCACTGAAGGGAATATTTGCAGCTCAGGGTTTAACTGTGGGGTCCTTGGTGCTCTCTGAGCTTGGTTGTTTTCCTTGCAGACATTTCATGAGTGAACTAGGTAACATCGTCAGTGCTAGAAGGGAGTGGGGTTTGCGGAGAGGAGGAGGAGGAGGAGGAGGAGGAGGAGGAAAAAGAAGACACCTCTGGGGTTCTTCTCTGTGGTTCTTGATGCTCTTTGAGTTTGGTGGTTTCCTTGCAGACATTTCATGACCGAACTAGGTAACATCATCAGTGCTAGAAGGGAGTGGGGTTTGCGGAGAGGAGGAGGAGGAGGAGGAGGAGGAGGAGGAGGAGGAAAAAGAAGACACCTCTGGGGTTCTTCTCTGTGGTTCTTGATGCTCTTTGAGTTTGGTGGTTTCCTTGCAGACATTTCATGACCGAACTAGGTAACATCATCAGTGCTACTGTAAAAGCTAGAACTCCATTCCCTTCTAGCGCTTATCTTACCTAATTCAGTCATTTAATGTCTGCAAGGAAAGCACCAAGTTCAGAGACCATCCAGGACCTCCAGTCCCCCCAGTGGTAGGATCCAATTTTTTTTCTACTTGCATTTTTTACGGGCTTTTGAACTGCTAGGTTGGCAGAAGTTCACGGGAGCTCACTCTGTTATGCGGCGCTAGGGATTCGAACCGCTGAACTGCTTGATTGACCTTTCTGATTGACAAGCTCAGTTTCTTAGCCACTGAGCCACTGCATCCCAACATGGAGTATAATAAATTGTCTAAAATGCTGTGTGTGTGTGTGTGTGTGTGTGTGTGTCCAATTGTTATGCCAAGTAAAGGCCAATAAGTGCCTTATCCCCTGCATGCATCCATGACCCCACCAAGCCTACCCCACCAGATCCTTCTGCAAATCTGAATTAATCTCCAAATCATCCTTTCAATTGACCACTATGGCTCTGAAGTCTCTAGCAAGGACGACAGCTGAGCAAGATCACAGGTAGTCCTCTACTTACAACCATTTGTTTGAACTTACAACAGTACTGCAAAAAAATGACTTGGGTTGGTTTTTCACACTTACGGAAGTGACCCGGGCGATGCGTTTCAGCATCCCCATGGTCATGTGACAAACTTTCGGATGCCTGGCCGCTGACTCATATTTATGATAGTTGAGGTCACGTGATGCCCTTTTGCAATCTTCTGGTGCTCATAGTCCACAGGGAAGCCAGATTGCCAAAGTTGTTAAATGAATCACTGCAGTTGTTAAGTTAGTCACATGGTTGTTAAATGAATTGGGGTTCCCCACTGACTTTGCTTGTCAGGAGGTCGCAAAAGGGGGACAGCGTGACCTGCGGAGGCTGCAACCATTGTACCTTATGAGTCAGAGGTCAAGTGTCTGGATTTTGATCACGTGATCATGCGTTTATCAGAGATTGGGTCCTCTGAAGCCTTATTCTCAGCTCAGCAGGGTCTTTCTGCAATTCCTTCATTTTGCAGCGAGAGGGAAGGTGACTGGAATTCAACTGTCTGAGCAAAGTTGTCTACGGGATCTGGAGACGGGTCATTTTCTCGGTGGGGGGAGGGAATCTTAGGAAGGGAGGGGTGAAGTGGGGCCAGGCCAGGAGGGCCAGGAAGCGGGGCAATTCAGCCAATTCACCGAACTGCCCATAAAATTAACAACCAGTTCTAGTGAATCGGTGCAAACCGGCTGAATCTCACTACTGGATCATGGGGATGCTACAAATAGTGAAAAACAGTCATAAGTCACTTTTTTTCAGTGGCATTGTAATTTCTAACAGCCACTAAATGAACTGTGGTAACTTGAGGACTAACTGTGTTGACATTAGGACAAAAGTTAGCTTGACATGGACTCTGTCTAATACATTTTTTTCTTCAAGCCTGTCCCTTTAAGAGGGGGTGGACTTCAACTCCCAGAATCCCCCAGCTACCATGGATCTCTGGGGGTGGGTGGGTCATAGCACAAGGCAAGAATTTTCCCCACCACTCCTTTTTCCTTTTTCACATAGGAGCAAAGAATTACAGTAATCCTCGAACTTGTGACAGGTAGTCCTTGACTTACAACCACAATTGGGAGCAGAATTTCTAGGCAAAGTTTCTGTTCAGTGAGTCATGACCAATTTTTATGAACTTTTTTGCTACGGTTGTTCAACAGATCCCTGCAGTTGTTAAGTGAACCGTGTGGTTGTTAAGTGAATCCAGCTTCCCCATTGACTTTGCTTGTCGGAAGCCAGCTTGGAAGGATGCAAATGGTGATCACGTGACCCCCTGCGATGCTGCAGCCATCGTAAGTCCATGCCAGTTGCCAAGCATCCAAATCCTGATCACATAATTGTGGGGAGGTCCTCAACATATGACCACAATTGGGACAAAAGTTTCCGTTGACAAGAAGGGTGGTTGTTAAATGAATCAAACCTGAATTTACAATCTTTCTGCCACAGTTGTTAAGCAAATCACTGTAGTTGTTAAGTGAATCATGTGGTCATTAAGCAAACCCAGTTTCCCCCCATTGACAGTGCTTGTTGGAGAGAGTGACCCCCCCCCCGGAATTAAGTGTCCAAATTTTGATCTGCAATGGTCGTAAGTGTGAGACTAGCCATAAGCTCCTCTTTTCAGAGCTGTTGTCATTTCGAACAGTCGTTGAACGCATAGTTGTAAGTCGAGGACCAGCTGGAGTTGCAAAGCTAACATTTCAAAACACCAACAACATAAAAAAACTTACCTCCCCATTCAAAAAGCAGTAGAGCACAGCGACCACGAAACCCTGAAATAGAAAGAAAAGTTTTTTCAGGGATAGCAAAAACTGACAGTCATTATTCATTGACATGAACATTACACTTAACATGAATGTAGCAGGAATATTCTCCGTTTCATTTTGAAGCAGCAAACAGAATAACAGAGTTGGAAGGGACCTTGAAGGTCTTCTAGTCCAACCCCCTGCTTAGGCAGGAAACCCTACGCCGCTTCAGTCAAATGGTTCTCCCAACATCTTCTTTAAAAAGAGATTGGATCCTCCAGTGTTGCAGCGTTCACAACCCCTGGAGGTAAATTGTTCCATGGATTAAATTGCTCTAATTAATTAATCTTGATCTGATTTTGCTTCCTGGAGAGACTGGGATTTTTTTTTTCTTTAAGAGAATAACAGAGTTGGAAGGGACCTTGGAGATCTTCTAGCCCAACCCCCTATTCAAGCAGGAAACTCTATATGCCATGTCAGACTAATGGCTGTCCAATCTCTTCAGCCAGTGGTTTTTCTCACTTACGTAAAGAAATATTATTGGTTGAGGAAGTGGGGTCAGGGTGGGCTGGGGGCACATAGATTTATAATGTAGGCATGCAAAGAGACAAAGCGTTTACTAAAAACTTGAAGTAACATGTTGGTGAGCAACCAGAAGAGTGTGAGACGTTTTGTAGCACGTGGGTATTGAAAACTGTCAGTCAGAACGGGAGAATCTACTGAGTAACTAAACATTCATGTTTCTTGATCTTGGTAGCTTTTAAGATGAGTGGACTTCAACTCCCAGAACTCCCCAGCCAGCATTCTAGCTAGGGGAACTCTGGGAATTGAAGTCCACACATCTTCAAGTTGTTGAGGTTGAGAAATACTAGTTTACACAATCATCTGAAGCTTTAATGACAAACCCATTGAAACATGGGATGCTTCAAGAGGGAGAGGGAGGGATTGTGGAGGGAGGGAGGGAGGGAGAAAGAGAGAAAGAGAGAGAGAGACAGAGAGAGAGAGAGAGAGAGAGAGAGAATGAATGAATGAATGAATGAATGAGAAAATTATTTAGAACTACATAACCCACCTGGAAGGAGCCGAGTCCCAGTTCAAAAACCAACCGCTCCCTTTTGCTGACGTTCTCTGGGTAAAAGGCAAACACTGTGTAGTGAATCCCAAAGAGTGGGATGAGTAACAAGGTGGACCGGGCCAACCGCCTGTGGAGATAAACCAAACAACGAAAGTTACATGTTCTCATTGAGTCCAGGAGTGCTTCTACTTTCCTATACCACCAAGTGCTGGAAAGAATTAACTCGGATTTCCCATTTGATCACAAGCGCCCTATAATTACTGTGGGGTCCTTGGCGTTTTCTTGCAGATGTCTCATGCCCCAACTAGGTAATGTCATCTGTGCTAAAAACTAGAACCCTGTACTATTCCAGCACTGATGAGGTTCCCTAGTTGGGTCATGAGGCGTCTGCAAGAAAAAACCCCAGCTCAGAGAGCACCAAGGACCCCACAGTTCAACCCTGAGCTACAAGTATCCTATTCTTATCGGTACCCCTTATCATACATTTTTGGACCCATTGCTAATCTTTGCCTAGGACTAACTTTCATTTCATTTATTTTGTTTTTATTTAACTTATTCAATTCATACACTGCCCATCGCACAATTCAATCGTGCCCCAAAGTTCTTTTGCTAAGTGAGACATTTGTTAAGTGGGTTTTTGTCCCATTTTTACCACTTTCCTTCTCACAGTTGTTCAGTGAATCCCCGCAGTTGTTAAATTAGTCACACGGTTGTTAAGTGAATCTGGCTTCCTGATTGATTTTGCTTGTCATAAGGTTGCAAAAGAGGATCACGTGACCCAAGGACACTGCAACCGTCATAAGTATGAAGCAGTTGCCATCTTGTTAACAGGGTGGTGGGGATTCTGCAATGGTCTTAAGTTTGAAAAACAGTCCTAATCACTTTTTTCACTGCTGTCATAACTCTGAAGAGTCACTAAATGAACAGTAGCCTATATAGCCCTCATCTTACGACCATACTTGAGCCCAGAATTACAGTCATGCCAGACACTAAGCATGGCACCACCAGGCAATTTTACCGTCTTTTTTGCAGCTCTTGTTAAGTAAAACTAGGTATTGTTAAATGAACATAGTGGTCTTTAAGCATATCCATTGCCCTCAATGGGTCTTTTTGTTGCTAAAAACTGGTTCTTGGCAAAAAAAAAAAACAATAATTATAAATTGTTGTCTCGTGTCCATGGGCACTGTAAGTGGTCAGAAATGCAGGCTTTGTGTCCAAAATGCGATCATGTGATCATAAGGGGAGGTGGCCATTAGAATTTTGAATCCATATTGGAAGGAATCCAGGGAGGTCTGTCATAACTGTGAATGGTTGCTAATTGAACAGTCGTAAGTGGAGATTACCTGTATGTCCACCCATTCAGGAAAAATAGAAATCAGACTTCACTTATTTTATGAGGAAAAATTAGCATGGCTGTGTGGGAAAGTGTGGGAACGTGGGAATCTATCACTAAAACATCACACCCAAAGATCCCTGTTGTGACCACGGGTATTGGCACAGTGACTTCAGGACACTGCAAGTGTGGGTTGGGGAAAGAGGAAGACACAACTGAACAAAAAGAGCTGTCATCTCAAAGGAGGATCTAGCGTCGCAACGACGCGACGTGAGATCTTGGAGCTCCAGGATCGCAGTCGATACTTTTGCTGCTGGACGGTCCTTTTGGACCTAAACCATCCCAAAGAGACAGTGACAGGAAAGAGTATGTCCTGCTGATCTCAGGGACATCGCAAAGTCCCTGAAAGATCCAGGAGAACCTCTTCTTGCTGGCGATAGAAGCGCAGCAACTGAAGCTGCCGAAGTTGGTACAGCTCCAGAACGGGAGGAAAGCGGAAAGAGAAAGTGTGCCGTTTGGTGAGGAAATTTTATTATTAGCAAGAGACTACCCCCCCAAAAAAATCAAAGCTAAATTAAATTTGAAAACAGAAGAAAGTAAGCAGTGAAATTAAGGTAAGTTAGACAGTGTGTTATCCTTGTTTTTTTTAAATCTGTTTCCTGGGTGGAACTCTTGCAAATATTTCCTATTTTTTAAACTGAATGGATTAGTTTTTCTTCTACTACTTTTTGTTTCTTAATAAAAAATTAAGAATTTTTTCCTTTATTTTTACAATGCTGGACTGGATGGTTTTTTTTCTCCATTTAAGAAGTTTTTTTTCTTTTCTCTGTAAGTTTGGATTATAGAGAAGATATTAAAAGGAATATTAAGAGGTCTGTAACAATAGAAGAAAAGGAACTTGGAGACTGGAAGCTGGAAATATTGTTTAATTTCTCTTTGATCATTTGTTTTCCACTTCAAGGTCTCTCAGCTTGTTTCCTGTGAGTGATGGTGGGAAGAGCATGGGTTATTTATACAGGTGCTCTTCGGGAGCTCTTTCAATAGCTGGAGTGGAGAGAGGAGAGACCTTGACTCTGAAAGATTATAAATGAACTTGCTTCAAATCTAACAAAAAGCTTCGAATGTTATAGTGGCAGTGTTTACAAATTGGAAAACGGCGCAACAAGAAAAAGAAACCTTAACATTGCAAATGATTGCATTTGGAATTCAAAAGATCTTAGCAGTAACAGAAAAAATTGAGAAGAGATTGGAGAATATAGAACACAGCACAGGGAAAATTTGATGGAAAAATTGAGGATGTTTATCAAATGGAAAAAGTGGAGGACAGAGTTCTAAAAATTGAAGGGAAAAATAATCAAAGAAACAAGAAAACTGTTGATATTGATAGTGAACTGAGCCTGGCTGGAAATGAAAAGAATGTATTATGGAAAGGGGAGATAGATTGACTGGAACTCTATCCCAGACTTCAAAGTTCAGAAGAAGAAAGAGAGAAAAATTGATGGAAGTAAGGAGAGAAACTTTATCAGAAGCACGAGTCATAACTAAGCTGATTGAAGAAGCAAATGGAGGGTTTCGAGTTTACATAAGAAATGAAATGAACAATAACTTGCGAAGTCTATATAAGACTTACCAAGAAATTAATCAGAATGCTAATGCTACAAGTGGCAAGAGACATAAGACTGCACTATTACTGGAAAGACACAGGTTGATGTAATGAAAGCTGATAATAAAAATTAAGTAAAATTTAGTTAAATTTAGAGTATTATGTATAAAATGAAGTGATAATGGCTATAGTTAAATCAATGATTGATCATGATAATAATGCATATATATGTATTGATTTGTTAAGAGGAAATTCTATATAAATTGCAAATGGAGACTACGAAAGGAAATTTAGAAATTAAACATAATCATTTTTTTTTATTTAGAGCATGTTATAAAGATGCAATTTTATTGTAGGATGTTGGGAGGAGTTAATGGAATGCCATTATGTGGTTCTGCTTTAAATTGGAATATTTCATGTAAAAGGATGTAAAAACAATTACAGTCAAATGAAGGCTGAGGTATGATGAAAGCAATGTATATAAATACTGCATACTTGATTTAAAAATATGTGATTCGATATGAATTATAGGTGTGGAAGGGATGCACAGAAGTTTTTGTAACCAACCGTCACTTTCTACAATTTGTAATGGAAGATAGTTTTGTGTTTCTGTTTGTGTTCTTTTAAAAAAAACTTCTTCAAAAAAAGAGCTGTCATCTCTACTACAGGGAGTCCTCGACTTACGACCACAATTGCATCGAAAATTTCCATGGCTAAGCTGTTAAGTGAATTTTGCTCCGTTTTATTAGCTTTCTTGCCACATTCGTTAAGGGAATCAATGCAGTTGTTAAGTGAGTAACCTGGTTGTTAAGTGAATACAGCTTCCCTGTTGACTTTGTTTGTCGCAAAAGGGGATTATATGACCCCTGGGCACTGCCAAGTTTGATCATGTGACGGTGGGGAAGCTGCAACGGCCATAAGTGTGAAAAAGTCCTTTTATTCAGTACCATTTTAACTCAGAATGAGTTGTAAATTGAGGACTATCTGTATTTTAATTCCATGGATTGACACATTTCAATGCAGGACGTTCAGCTCTTCGATAGCGACACGGCCAGCGACAAAAAAGCACACAAGACAGAGCAAGGCATCATGCGGTAGCACGCCATTGTTATGCCGGCCGGCGCTCACAAAAACCACACTCGACGTTTTAAGCGGCATGCGTCAAAAACACAGACACCGTTCACGGGATTCCGCACACTTACAGGGTGATGATGGATAGTTCAGCCATCCTGCAAGAATGCTGGTTAGTCCTCTCGGACTTACAGTAGCATTTCTGAACGCAGCTGCTGAGTGTGGGACGAGGTCAGCCCAAAAAAAAGAAAGAAAGAAAGAAAGGAAAAAAAACACAAAACAAAACAGAAAATAAACAAAAAAAATTGCTGTTTTTTTCCTCTCCTCCTCCTCCTCCTCTCCAGGTCAAGGACAAAAAGTCCATCCAACTTAAATATGGAATACTGAACCGTTACACCCTCCTCTAAAACCCGACTGATGAATGAACCAATAAAACTGACAAGCAGAATGGCCAGGAGGCGGAAGCCAATGCAGAAGGTGTGAGGGAAGCCAGATGTAATGTTGTGTGGCGCTACAACACAAGCACACAACGTCAAGCAGATGGAACAAACAATGATTGCAGGTGTTAAAGGTGTCCAGGTCTTAAGCAAAATCTGGGGGGGGGGAGAGAGGGGGGGGGAAATGCATAAATAGGAACAAAAGATGGGAGAGAATTTTGTTGAAGTTTCAGTGAAGAAAAAGCCACAAATGTAAGAGGTAGTCCTCGACTTACAACAATTCATTTAGTGACCGTTCAAAGTTGCCACAGCACCAAAAAAAGGAGCTTATGACCGTTTTTCACTGTTACAACCTTTGCAGCATCCCCATGATAATGTCATCAAAATTCAGACACTTGGCAAATGGCTCATACTTATGACCATTGCTGAATCCCAGGGTCACCTGATCCCCTTTTGCGACCTTCTGTCAAGCAAAGCCAATGGGGAAGTCAGATTCACTTTAGGAACAGGTTATCAACCTATCAACGTCAGTGATTCACTTAACAACGGTGGCAAGAAATGTTGTAAAATGGGATAAAACTCACGTAACAAATTCTCACTTAACAACATAAATGCTGGGCTTGGTTGTGGTCGTAAGTCGAGAACTACCTGTATTTATGATGGTTGCAGTTTCCTAGGGTCACGTGATCCTCCTCTTGCAACCTTCTGACAAGCAAAGTCAACATGAAAGCCAGATTCACTTAACAACCGTGCAGTGATTCATTTTACAAACTGTGGCAACTAAAGTTAAAAAAAATGGAGCAAAATTTACTTAGCCAATGTTTGACTTAGCAACAGAAATGTTTGGCTCAATTGTGGTCGTAAGTCGAGGACTGCCTTCATTGCTCAAGCGAGGTCATGGACACAAATATAGGAATATTCCCAAATGTTCATGGAAACTCTGAATGCATGAGATTTAGGATCCAGCAACTCCGAATGACGTCAGCCAAACTGGAAGAACACCTAGATGAAGTGATTCTATTTTACAGCTAGTCCTCAACTTACGACCATTCTTTTAGCAGCCATTCGGAGTTTACAACAGCCCTGATTTCAGACCATTTTTCACACTTACATGGTCCCAGGCTCAAAAACACAAACGCTTGTCAATTGGTTCATATTTACTGTATTTTGAAGTCCCCCCCAACTATGCTGACTGGAGAATTCTGGGAGCTGAAGCCCACAAGTCTTAAATTTGCCAAATTTGGAGACCCCTGTTTTGGTGGATAGGATGATGGTACAAAATAGGTACAAGATAACAAGAAAATGACATTTTCCATTTATTCCTTTTGCTTTGGCTGATTTCAGCGTTTTAGCCTTCTTTTGGAAAGGCTTTTCTGAAAGTTAAATGAAGGTTGGGAAGGGTTTTTTGTTTTTTTGTTTTTGCCAAAGAAACCCCAAGGAATTCTATACTCCACATTCTGGAACTGTGCTACTGAAATTTGATAAAAACTACTAAAATAGCTGAGGGATATTTATTACACCTCCCCGACTTAAATTTCCAGGTGTGGTCTGGAGATGCTGGACCAGAACTGGGGGATCAGTTTCAAATAAAAATAAACTTAACATTTAGCTATGACTCAGCAGTGATCTGCAGCTGCCAAGAAAAGCCAATGCAGTCATAGGCTGTATCAAGAGAAGGATAAGAGCTTGAGAACCGATAGTACCGCTTTATACTGGAAAAACACCACACTTGGAATAGGGCATCCAGTTTTGGTCACTATGGTGTAAAAAAAGATGTTGAGACTCTGGAAAGAGTGCAGAGAAGAGAAACAAAGTTGACTGGAGGCTAAAATATAGGAAGAACGATTGCAAGAACTGGGTGTGTCTAGTTTAAGGAAAAGAAAAACTAGGGGAGACGTGATAGCTGTGCTCCAATATCTCAGGGGTTGCCACAAAGAAGAGGCAAATCAAACTATTCTCCAAGGCACCTGAGTGTAGAACAAGAAGCAATGGGTGGAAACTAATCAAGGAGAGAAGCAACCTAGAACTAAGGAGAAATTTCCTGACAATGAGAACAATTAATCAGTGGAACAGAAATTGCCTCCAGAAGTTGTGAATGCCCCAACACTGGAAGTCTTTAAGAGGATGTTGGATAACCATTTGTTTGAAGTAGTGTAGGGTTTCCTGCCTAGGCAGGGGGTTGGACTGGAAGACCTCCAAGGTCCCTTCTAACTCTGTTATTCTCTTATTATTCTCTTATTATTCTCTTGTTTTTCTGTTTTGGGTGCTCTATGACTGCAGCTCTTCAAGAAGAGATTGAACAATCATTTGTCCAGAAGAGTATAGGGGGGTTAGACTAGAAGACCTCCAAGGTCCCTTACATTTCTTTTTAGTCTGTAATTCTGTATAAAACATCCTCCATGGAGACTGGTTTCTCTATCAACAGGCTTCTGCACTGCTCCAGATGTTACCTTTCTACCTATTTTCCTGCTATGGTTCATGCTTTCATTGCTGATGACGAACCATTAATCCTGACATTTAGAGGAAATAAGGCTCAGTGCTTGCAGCTCACCCTAATGGAACTCGTCCATCATAATCACACGGATAGAGAAAGCAAAGCCCAGCCATGATTATAAAATATTGAATTAGGAATTGAGTAAACTACATCCGCCCAACAGTAAAAAAAGAACAAAAAACCCCCCGTCAAACAAGCACAGGGAGTCCTCGACTTACAACAGTTCATTTAGTGACCGTTTGAAGTTACACCGGCACTGAAAAAAAGCGACTTAGGGCTGTTTTTCACACTTACGACCATTACAGCACTCCCATGGTCAGGTGATCAAAATTCAGACGCTTGGGAATTGGCTTGTATTTATTACGGTTACAGTGTTCCAGGATCACGTGATTCCCCTTTTGTGACCTTCTGAGAAGTGGGGAAGCCAGATTCACTTAACAACCATGCAACTAATTTAACAACTTCAGGGATTCGCTTAACGACTGTGGCAAAATACGCTTAATAAAATTCACTTAGTAACAGAAATTTGGGGCTCAATTGTTAAGCCAAGGACCGTCTGTACCGAAATATCTGAAGTTACACGAAGTATCTGAAATGATACATTCTTATATTTTTATGCCATGGTAGCCATTAATTCAGCATTCATAAAATCTCAAAACATCCTTTTTTAAAAGTGGACTGTTGATCTGAGTTGATAGTGTACCGCCTGGTCGGTTTCACCTCTGTTTCGTTATTCTGAATGGTTCAAAGAATGGAAGGTTCATTTCTAAACCGGTTCTTTGACTTTCTTTTAATTAATTCACTAGAATCAATTAACTGCAGTAGAACAGCAATTGAGGAAATGGTTTAAATAATTTAGGATCAAGCGTTCAGCTGATTGGTATGGATTTCATTCCTAGAATCTCTGAAGGAGGCAGTCTCTTTTTCCCAGTCTTTACTGGGGGGAAAAAATCCCTCGTCGTAAAATGAAATTTTAAATGGTTTATGTGTCTTCCGAATCTCATCGTTTTTGAGGAGGGGTGTGCCTTTAAGGAACCAAATGACTTGCAGCACAAATGGCCAGCTTCAAAGGATCGCATTTTAGACACATTATATGGAAATCTTTTTCTCTGGAGAAGGCTCTGATCTTGGGAATGATTGAAGGGAATAAAACATCAGAAGAACACAGTTGGAAGGGACCTTGGAGGTCTTCTAGTACAACCCCTTGCTCAAGCAGGGGACCCTATAACAGTGATGGTGAACTTTTTTGGCACCGCCCAAACATGCATGCATGTGCCGCAGTGCCGGAAGCCCAAAGACCAGTTGGCCAGTGCATGCATGCCTGTTTTGGGGGCATTTTTGGGACATTTTCAGGCTGCTTATGGCCTGAAAAACTGCCTGAAAAGAACACGAAAAATGTCTTGGAAAATAGCCCCCAAAACGGCCTGTTTCCAGTGCACCAGTGCCCGCGAAGACGAGTTGTGCGTGTGCATGCCGGAAGCCGGAAGAGCAGCTGGTGATGGTCTGAGTGCCCACCTCTGGCACGTGTGCCATAGGTTTGCCATCACGGCGCTATACTATCCTGGGCAAATGGTTGCCCCATCTCTTCTTAAGAGCACTCGCAACTTCTGAAGGTAAATTGTTCCACTGGTTAACTGTTCTCACTGATAGGAAATCTCTCCTTAGTTCTAGGTTGCTTCCCTCCTTGGTGTCCTGAAGGTGTTTTTTCAAGAGGCAACTGGACTTTCTTCATTTCCTCTGGAAGATGTTTCCCTTCTCATTCAAGAAGCTGCTTCAGTTCTGTTCTCTCTAGACATCCCTCCTTGATAAACTTCCAACATTACTTCTTGTCCTGTACTCAGGTGCTTTGGAGAATAGAAAAGGAGGGTGTCTGTTGTGGCCCAGCAGTGGCCAGCAGAGCTGGCAGAAGATTCAGACAGTGAGGAGGTTGAAGGGGAACCTGGGCCAGTCCTGGAGTCTGGGGAAGGCTCTGATGAGGGCTCTGTATCGGAGGCAGAGAGGGAGCCAAGGCCATCTGGAAGCTATCAGCTGCCTTCAGAGTCAGACATCAGTGAGGCAGAAGAACTGCTGGAGCTTGTTCCCAGGGTGTGCATGCGCAGAGTGGCCAGACGAAGGGAACAGCTAAAGAACAGGGGCCGTCTTGGGAGCAAGGCCACAAGTGGATGATGAATGGCCCTTCCCAGTGGGAATAAAAGAGGAGCGAAAGGGGAGGGGAGTTTGCAGGAGACAATTAGTTTGTGACTCTTTGAGACTCCTTGACAAATTTTGTAGATATTGGCCTGTCAGCTCTCCAAGCCAGATAAGGTCTGTGACCGTAAATCCTCTTTTGAAAGACTTTGCTGAATGTGAATGGGAGGAATTCACAGGAAATTAATAAAAAGGGGGTTTTGTCAGGACCAGGAGTCTGCTTCGTGATTTGGGGAAGCCTAGGTCAGAAGAACATCTGGCAGCAAAGTGAATGGAGGCACCATTACTTGAAGGACTAGGTTAGTGACAATCCATGAAGTCCATGATGCTTGGAAATTGAGGAAGGGAAGAGAAGAAGAGGATGACTAGCAATAAGGTGGATGGACACAGCAGTGACCTCTGCACCCTGAAGAACCAGGTCATGAAGAGAAGAGATCCTCCTGGACTACATCTACATATGTAGCTGGGGCTGCTAAGAGCCAATGTTGACTTGATGGCACATAAATCAATCCAATAAGGAACCAACTCTCAAAGCTATTCTGAAACAGAGTCATTGATGGGGACTTTCCATCTGCAGTTGTGGCCAG